AATATTCAACACCACCAGTTCAAATTATTAATGCAAAAGCATACATGTTGACCTTTTTGAAATGAAAAGTATTGTTAGACTTGTCCAGTCATCTAATTTGACACATTACTTTAGGGATTTTGGAATCTACAGATTTATAAAAAGCTTCAGTAAACATTGCTCTTTTCTTTAGGAAAAATGCATCTTAAAAAATAAAATTCGACTCCATGAGACTACGGAATTTTAAGGCCTTAAGAAGGCAGAAGTAAACTAACACAAATTCAGACCACGAAATTTATGGAGAAAGCACTTGATCTGGCTTTCAAAAATAAAAAATACACCAAAAATGACAAACTGCTTATCAAATGGGAAATTCTAAAATCTCTGTTAATGATGCTAATGTTACTCTTTTAGAAACAAGAAACTTTCTAAAAACATATTATTGAGCCATGTTTGTCATGTTTTTGGTAAATGCCACAAGTATATCCAAGGCCCTCATTTCTCTATATAATCCGAATGCCTGAGTGGAAATTAGCCTGGAGTTACTTTCTCTTGGAGATAAGGGACTGGGTTAACTACTTGGAGATCCTGGTAGCTGTGTAATTACTTGGTATCTATTTTAATTATCCACCATACACAAAACTGCTGAGAGTTCTTATTGTAAAGCCATGCCCTGAATGTTCAGGAGCCCTGCCCTTTCCCCTGTTAATTCAGTTCCCCTATCTTTACAGGTAAAATTAATGCTTCAGATAAAGCTTTAGGTAGCATTTGTCTTTTAACTGTGAAAATAAGGAGCTTAATTGTAACCGCAAAGATTTAAGTTTAGAAGCTTACTTTGTAAGTTCAAAAGGTGACTTTGACCCCATTGTGTCTAGAAAAATAAGAATATGAAAAGCCACACTCTTTAATAACTCATCGTCTACATTTGCATTTAAATGAAATATCCTTTGAAATGCTTTCTTTGACTTTAAACTATTCCACAGTTTATTTTATGGACCAGTTTTATTTTATTTCAGAAGAACACCTGATTAAAAGGCTTAATCCATGGAAGAAATTGCGCAATAGCAATGCACAGCTGTCAAGGCTTTCCAGATGTGTGAAGTGCCCTTCTGCTTGTGTTGTTTGGTAACTGGATGATAGATGGTCTCCTGAAGAGGCAGGTGTTTGCACATAGGACCGTCATTTTATAAATCCTTAGAAGAACAAAGACTAGTGTCAGCCTAGAACACTATTCAGTTCAACAATTCTTAAACGGAGAATCTCTGATTTCTTGCAATTTCTAATCCGCTAATCGGTTTTGTCCTCATTAAGGTCTACAAAAGAGGCTGACCACGCGAGCTACACAAAGACACCAGCTGTTCCCATCGTACTACTGTGCAGAGCTACCCTTCCTGGGCAGCCTAGATTTGTGCCTGTGGTCCAACCTGTCAACTTATTGCAAAATTATTCTTTAATTTGTTATGAGCAAATCACAAATGATGGGTCACGAGATTCATAACTCTTGCTTTATTAATGAATTATTCTTTTTTATAATGTAGTCTTCTAGGCATACTTATGTGTGCATGAGTCTGCGTATATGTTTTAGGGTCTTCTTTCCCTTTGCACCTGTGCAAATGGATGAAGGGTCATTCCCTCAGATGATAGGTCCATGAAGCCAAAAGATAAAACAGGCACGATAGCAGAACCGAAGGGCTGCAGAAGTAAATCTCGTGAACTGCTCCTAATTCATACTTTATGACCAGGTTTCTTTATGGATAGAGCCACATTTTTTAATTTCTATCCAGCTACCAGCTTTATCTTATTAAACCCAGTGGGAAGGGTGAATCTTCCAACATGGCCTACTGAGTTCTGGCCTATGAGAACTTATTCCCTAATGGCTGATGGAAGCTATGTGCTCTTTCTGTGTCCCGCTTTCTTTTATGGAGAAAGGCAGTGCTGAAGGACAGAAAAATAGAAGAGAAAGACAAGAAAGGAGACAAAATTACTATAGACAGTAAAGTTAGATAGACATTAATATACAATCAGGGAGAGAGTGGGCCCCTAAGGAAGTCAGCATAAAAACCAGACACATCAGAACTGTGGCTAGATGTGACTCTAGAGAGGCTGCGCTCAGGAAGAAAAAGCATCAGACAGGCCCACACGGCTCATTAGAGATAACAGCAGCTTGAGATCGTGCTGTAACTAGCAACCCTTGCTCCACTGGGCCCAGCTTGTGTGGGTGACCAGGACACCTGGACCCGTACTCCTCTCCCTTTCCAAGATTTTCCTTGACCTTTCCTTGTGCCTTGCTTTGTGCTTCATTTCCCTCCCTTCCAGATCAGTATTAGTGAGGTGGCCGTACTTATAGACCTATAGACTATAGTTGGATCCACGTGCTCACATTGTCATTTTGCTGTTGTCCTTGCCAAAAAACCACTGTGGCAATATCCTTTCTAACACCTTGACTCTTAGGAGCTTTCTTTCAGTAAACGTTTCTACTCTCAAACTCCTTTGTTCCTTGTAATTCATTCTTTGACATTTGGGGGACATGGATTTGGTAGAGCAGGCCAGCATCAAGAGAAGACACTTCAAGAATTCGGTTACTAAGAAAATGGTGCAAAATGACATTGAATGCAGGAAAGAATGAAGACCAAAATGTAGTTTTTGCTCTGGATATAATTCTTTTTAATACTTTTTTAAAAAATGTATTTAGTACAGGGTCTCACTATGCAGCTCAGACTCATGTTGATCCTCCTGTTTTCAGGTTCCCCAGCCCTGGGATTACAGGTGCATGCCCCTGCCGGTGCAGCAGGTAGTGCCAAGTAAGGAACCTGGTCCCTGTGCTTGGCCAAGCAGGCGCTTAGTCTGCTGTGCTATATCACTGGCCCTTTAATACCATTTTAAAACTTGCAGTTCTATATCTTTACAGGGACCGGTAACTATTTTACCTTCACATTCCTTTATATGGTCAGTATCACATTAGTAGCATGAAATTATAACACCAGCCACCCTCATCACCTCTGCTGTCCCACATGCAACTGGAAAGTCATTCCTAATTACCTTGAATAGCATCCAAGAAATAGGTATCAAAGATCTCTATCTCTCAGAGAAGTAGGTATTATTTAGTTAGCTCTTCTTTTAGTTTGCATCATTTTCATCACTATGGCACTAAAGAATTTCTTAGAAATTATGGCTTTTGGTTTAGAAGATTCTGAAGGAGAGAAAGTAGGTATAATTATCACTATCTGCTTAACAAGATGACATAAAAACATCTTTGCCTGTTATTTCCAGTTTGAAGGTAAGAAGCTGTCAGCATAAGAAAATGGCTGTTCTGTTAAGTCGCTGTTTACCATAATTCACCTTTTAATGCATTTATCTTTGTTATAGAACCACATTGCTTTGCAATGCACCACAATGGCTGTGTACTATGAAAACCCTCGGGGGGCCTGTCCCTTAGCTCAGTTCTTTAAGTGGCTGCTTCAACAAAGCAGTCAGGCTCAGGTTGCTGTGGTTCCATCTCCAGAACTCAAGCCAGCCAAACCTGTCCTGAAGGCATGCTGAGCAAGCCAGAAAAAAAAAAGAAAAAAGAAAACCCTAAAAATATTACTATTAATTGTGTTTCTATGATTATTGCACAAACCCAATAATTTATGTCTCATTGTTATTTGTTGCTAGGATAATATCTAACTTTTCCTCAACTTAATGGAATTTAAAGGCCACAAGGGCAGTTTCTGAGAAATAAACAGCATGTAGCTGAGAGAAAAGCAAAGTACCAAACACGTCCTTCTTTTTTCCTCTCTTTCTGGTGGTCTGAATGAATCATGTCCAGAAGCACAGAAGGAAAGGACCCTGAAAAAGAAGTCCAAGTAGTAGCTGCAGACTAATGCCCTGACAAGTGGCCGCAGCACTCCCTCCAGTTTGCCTAATCCTCAGGCAAGCTTCTTTCAATTCTGGGCCCTTGATTTCTAATTTCTTAGAGCATTTGCTTTAGAAAATTGTAATTGCAAAAATCTTTCCTCCTTTGAAATGTAAATCTTTTGGGAAGCTTCTTGCCAGTTTTGGAACCCAGAAATGCCTGCTTCGAGGATCTCTGGGCCATCCCTTTGAAATGTAATTATCAAGCAGGATGGGACTTTCATGTGTTTTCAGGTCTTGTGGGAGGGTGGGAGCCTCGTTTGCAGGCATGTTGCCCAAAATTGTACAATGATCTGCTCCCTTGAAGATGTAAAAAATTGCTTTTTCTTTAGGTAAGAATAACTGCTGAATGCATATGGGCTGCTATTCCTGTGATCCAGCTCTGAAGAACAATTCATCCCTTAATTTGAGTGCGGCACAGTCACACTCTTCCGGCCTTTCCTTTTCACTGCAATAGCTTTGAAAAAAGGAATGAAGTCTTCGTCTCTTGTTTATATGAAGTCACCAAACTGGGTAAAGTTCAAACACAAATTTTGTCCACCTATACTAGTAAATACTGCATTATTTTTAATCATATAGTGAGCAAGAAGGAAAAATTCATTAAGGAAAAATTGTAGTTAGATATATTTATCTCTAAATATATCATTTAAAAAGGAAAATAAACAAACAGATGCAAATGAGAGCCAGCCTGTAAGAAGGCTACAGGACAGTGTTAGAAGATGGGATATCTATGTAATGCTTTAAAAAATCTAAAATCAGGTTCTGATATCACAGCTACATAGTAGTAAGCCTACAAATTGTCATTTGAGCTTCTGACTCCTTAAGGCTGACAAAATTATAATGATGTTTTAAATTACTAGGAAAGTTAGAGACAGTGCTCGTCTGACCACCACCACTGCATATCTAAGCAAACGTCCCCAATTACGATGTAATCTGATCATCAATTCACCTTTTAAAAATTTTGTATTCTTTGAAAATCAAGCTTAAAATTTTTCCTGTTTATCTTTAAAAGCATTAACATACGTACTATAGATCTCATCGATTCTGATGGATAAAAAAAATTTCTCAAGCTTGTGTTACTGGGCTGGCCAAATAGCTCAGTGGATTAAAGGGCTTGCAAGCAGGCCCAGGGGCTAGGGGTTTGATCCCTGGGCCTGCCCCCAGGGTGCACTGAGACTGTGATTGAGACTGGGTGTGGTGGCACACACCTGTTATTCCAGCTCTTGGAAGGCTGTAAACAGGTGGATTACTATGAGTTTGATCTAGTAGTGAGACCCTGAGCACCGTGTAGACCCTTCCCTGAAGTAAAAATAAAAAGATTGTGTTACTGTACATGCAAAGATTTGCCTAGTTACTACATCTCTTTTGTTACTTCAAAGGTAAATTGACTCCTCATACTTTGAAATATTTTATAAAGATATTAAATTTCTAGTTTTTACATATATGGTCTACTCTAAGATCTAACTAAGAAGGCTAGAGATAAACACATTCCTTTTAAATGACTTTATAAGGAGTTTACATATGTTCTTAGCTCCAGCAATTCAGAATCCTATAAAGGATTGCCTTTTTGTTTATTTATACAGATGTCCCTTAATTGATAAGACCTTTCCCTGCAAATGTCAAATTAAAATTACTATAATGAAAGTACATGAGTCTTAGAAATGACTCATAACATGACATATTGTTGCCTTAGTTTTCAACAGGGAAGTATAAGTAATCCAGTAGGTTTAATGACTCAACCTGTACCTACATCCCTATTTCCATACTTGTCTATTCTTTTTCCCTTTTTTTAAGGGGGCCCCATTTCTGTTCTGTTTCATAATTTAGTATTCAGCCTCTCTTCTGATGAACAACATTAATTTTACCCAAAGCAATAAAATTGAGTTTGCACAAAACATGAACCATGCCTGTATTTTAGCTGCAGGGCTTAACGTACGGCCTGATTCATAGCAGGAGCTCAAAAATTTATTAATTGAATGAATAATTCAGAGAATCAATGAAACACAAAACAAGTCTCTCAGAAGCTTCTTAGCAGAGAGTCAGCCTTGGACTTTAGAGAGTTTTTGACAAGAAATGCAAGCACCACCAGGGAATGGCATTTCTCCATCGCCACCTCAGGAAGCCCACTTGCTGTCCACTGTTGTTCTGTCCAAATACAAATGCAAAGTTTTCAAGGGCCAAGTTCTCAGAACTTAAGTCTTATATGTTTTCAAAGTTTTAAATTTAATATTTTCCAAGTCTGGTCCAGGCAAATCTAGACTTGGGCAAGGCATAATTTCTGTGCAGTACAGTCCAAGTACTGTGAGAATTTTGTTTTCTATACCTGTTACAAACATGGACATTTTCTCTAAGGACAGAAGACATGGTCTATTAGGATATAAAAATTCAAGATTCCATCCTTGTCCTGATTCCACACACCTGCAAAATAGTTGGAGGTCTTGAACCTCTTCCATATTGGTGCTGTTCCGTTAACGTAGGTTTTT